AGCTTATCGGCTAGATGAGATCAGTGGTGGGTGGGGTTAAACATTTGTTGGGCGTAGCTTATCGGCTAGATGAGATCAGTGGTGGGTGGGGTTAAACATTTGTTGGGCGTAGCTTATCGGCTAGATGAGATCAGTGGTGGGTGGGGTTAAACATTTGTTGTGCGGAGCTTATCGGCTTGATGAGATCACTGCCCAAACTCCCGGTCTGACACCGTCTCGAAAGGCCTGCTGTCTGAAGCTGACACTGGCGTTTATTTGCATGTTTACCACCTCCTCATTACATACAGGTTTCAGAAATGTTTCTTTGCATGTTGTCTTCGTGCAGGAGATCTTTCATGAGGAGAACCAGAAAGAATACAACAACAAAAAGTCAGCTAAGAAGCGACGGAAGCGAATAGTAGCAAAGAAGATGAAGCAGGCCATCAGCACGCTCAACCTCCAGGAGCATGATGACGTCTCCCGAGAAACGTTTGCCAGTGACACTGAAGAGGCTCTGGGCTCGCTGGAGGAGGCCCCCGAGGGCCCGCCGGAGTCTGCACTGGGCACAGAGGACAACCCTGTCGTCTACAGCTCAACTGACCTCGAGGTTTTCTAATGCATGAGCATGCGTGCTGTTTCGTGCTGCACGGCCCCTTCTAGTTGTAGCCTAAAACAGCTGGGATTGACTAAACTAAAGATGAAAGACAACAGTGGGTTTGTCCTGACAGGTAGCACTTTAAGTTCTCTGCTGGTTGTTGAAAGACTGTAAGCAGCAGGCAAAGCTTGTACAGATCTTCTACAGGAATTCTTGCCTGGTTAAAATGTTGTTGATAAATTGTGATCTTTCTGTTTAGATATTTTGCAAGCTTTTGATACATTACTGCATTCATGGGAAATTAATTGCAGCAAGAAAATATACATTCACTTATTTCAGAAGAATACAGCTTGTGTTTTAGTAATCGGAGATGCTCTAAACGTTTGTTAAAGGTGCATTGTACAATAAAGCAGTACATGCTTGATGTGTAAAAGGCAAGCTCAGCTTTTGGTGCGTGTCATTTGTCATACTGCTCTCAAATATGTCTGTGGTTTGCTATTTTTACTTTGTGTTTTTGCTTTCACTGTGGTGCAATTGAGCTGAATAGATGAACATTCTTGAACTGATAAGTGTCAGTACATGCTCAAATTAAAAAGCAATCTAAGTTTTGTGATTAATGGTAGCTTCTCTGATCAGGTTCACTCTTGCACATGGTTGAATATACTACAGATGTATTCTGCTAGAAGTGCTTCATCTGTGACTTGTGGAAAATCTGCAAGAAATACAAACACATCCATAAACAATGTTGGGGGTAACGCATAACAAATAATGCGAGTTACGTAGTCAGATTACTTTTTCCAAGTAACTGGTAAAGTAATGCATTACTAGAAATTATCTGAGTTACTTTTTCAAATAATGCAAGTTACTTTGTTTTCCCGTTTATTAACTGTCATGTGCGCCATGTGAACATGATTACTGTAGCTCTAGATTGAATGTGAACATGGATTACTCGAACAGCAACGATGGAGTGCAAACTCGGAATATGATGCAAACCTGCAATAATTAAATGTAAAATTACACAAATGTCCTTTATTTTATTATTGCTGAAGAGTGATGAACTTCTGTGTTCTGTCCTTCGTACAATCTAGAATGGCAGCACAGCTTAAAGGTTTGTTTGTGTTAATTTACATTTCCTTCATCTTGAGAATGAAAGGGCTTTTACATTTGCCTTACAAGTCATGGGGGCGTTTTACTCCGTGTCCACCTGATGAAATATTTTCAGCTGGTACATACCTTATATTTAGCACTTCCCAGTGTGTCACTTTAAAATTTCAGGATAAATCTGACCTTCTGTAACACGTCAAATGCATGCTAACAGTTATGTTTGGGTAAAAACTGTTCAGATTCAAAGGTTGGCACCTGAAAAACAAATATACATTTGAATCTCTACAAATCCTAGACTGAAAAAGTCATGAGATGAAACCTAAATCAGCAGCATGGCGTTCGCCCAGGCTCTGGATTCACAGGAGCAATAATGTCATTGAAGTCTCTAATATTTTGATATGTAGCACATACAGCTGAATGATCTATTATTACATATATGTGATTACACGCTTTACAAACCAACAGTGGCGTCTCGAAACGCTTCACTGGCCAGCAATAGTGAAGGACTGATGAGCAGAAAAACTACAGAACTGCTGTCTGTGCACTGATCTGTCATAACAAGCCGCGATGATCTTACAGTGGAACTGAAACAAACAGCGAAGTGTCATTAAAGTGTTTAATACTGTCAGTCTGAGAGAGTTCACACTGATTGCTATAAGAAGGCAAACCGCGTGACGCGTTTATGGATTGTGTTTACAGCACGTGCTTTCAGCGCGTTTAGTGCAGTTTGAAATTAGTCTCAACCGCGCCGTTGTCCGTCTGATGACGTAGCGGCGGCTGATTGGCTGTCCAGGGTCACGTGTGAGTGTGGTTCTGATGAGCGACCATTAGTTCAGTTCATTCAGTACCACTCACACACACTCTACTCTCAGAGTAGCACACACTCGCTACTCTACAGTTTTCTGCGGTATTGATGTAGGACGCTCTGTTCGCTCGGCGCGTCGTTTCTATACTTCATCAGTGGGAAGGTAAGTTTCTGCTGTTCCTAATCGATGCGCTGATTGAGCCGATCAGCTGTGTGAGATTAACCGTGTTCTCTCGCGGCAGATGGCGAGCCCCGCGCGGATCTCCCGCCTGCAGGAGCAGCAGGAGCTGCAGCAGCTCAACGACCGGCTGGCCGCCTACATCGCCGCGGTGCGCCGCCTGGAGTCCGAGAACGGCGCGCTGCAGCTGCAGGTCCGCGAGCGCGAGGAGACGCGCGGCCTCAAAGCGCTCTACGAGACCGAGCTGGCGGACGCGCGCACGGCGCTGGACGAGATGGCGCGGGAGCGTGCACGCCTGCAGCTCGAGCTGGGCCAGATGAAGAGCGAGCACGAGCAGCTGCAGCACACGCGAGCCTCTTCATCACTCACTACTGTCTCTGCGGGTTTGACTCCTCCCTGAAGCGTTTGCTTACGAACTTTCACATAAGTGGTGCAAAACTATAGTAGTCATTTTGTTATTTTAATATGCTCCTTAAGGTTTACTTATAATATTAGAACTTATTTGCACATACACAAAAAAAACCGTGAAAGATTATTTTCAACCCTCATTCTGACCCTCTGTCTAAAACCAGCTGTTTTAAGGGGCGTGTCCTTTAAGGCTCGTCAGTAATCAGCCGCTGTTATGATTGGCTAATGTCACTACATAGGGAACACTATCAACGCCCCCTCATAAGTGTTCTGACTACATGATCAAAATAAAACGCTCATTTCCAGACAAAGCATTATGAAATCATGTACTTATGGTTTGTGATGCAGCTGCAGTCAGATCTAGCAGTGCTTCATGTTTCAACAAATGTTTCTTTGTGACTCTACATGACACCGTGCCTCGTTTACGAAACAAAATGCTCCGATCAATCCTCAGACACGTTCCAGGACGCCATTAAAATAAACTATCCACTTGTTCCTTCTGCTGGGATCCTTCTGATATCTATACAAAGACGCGACCGAGATGTTTAAGCCAAGCGCGTCAAAGCGAATGTTCTTTCACTGCATTTGTCCTGACGACAGAATCGAGTGTGGACTGTCAGAAAGTGAACCGCATCTGTTTACTGTATCCAGTGTAGACAAGATAGTTCAGTGATTGTGATTTCTATTTGCTCTTGACGCGACACGACTCTCGTTCAGCGTGATCAAGTGTCAGCCGTTAGTGGATGAATGCCAGTGGGCGGGGCCTATGCTGAGAGAAGAAGACTATTCGTCGATATCCTGCTCTGGAGGCGTGTTTATGCAAATATTTGTTCCCCCATGATGTCATCTTGCCCCTCAGATCCAAACGAGCCGTTTCTGAGCTTGATTAAATAAATGCTTTGTTTATAATGAGGAGAAGGTTTTAAGCTATGAAACTTGACTCTCATTCAGCGTGATCAAGTGTCAGCCGTTAGTGGATGAATGCCAGTGGGCGGGGCCTATGCTGAGAGAAGAATACTATTCGTCGATATCCTGCTCTGGAGGCGTGTTTATGCAAATATTTGTTCCCCCGTGATGTCATCTTGCCCCTCAGATCCAAACGAGCCGTTTCTGAGCTTGATTAAATAAATGCTTTGTTTATAATGAGGAGAAGGTTTTAAGCTATGAAACTTGCAGGATGATTTAAAGCTACAAAGACCTCTTATATGGCAAAAGATCAAGGCAAATTTGATTTCTCTTGTCATGACCCCTTTAAAAGCATCGATCACTCCAAAATGAAAATTCTGTCATGATTCACGTTCCAGGACGCCATTAAAATAAACTATCCACTTGTTCCTTCTGCTGGGATCCTTCTGATATCTATACAAAGACGCGACCGAGATGTTTAAGCCAAGCGCGTCAAAGCGAATGTTCTTTCACTGCATTTGTCCTGACGACAGAATCGAGTGTGGACTGTGTCATTCTATTTGCTCTTGACGCGACACGACTCTCATTCAGCGTTATCAAGTGTCAGCCGTTAGTGGATGAACGCCAGTGGGCGGGGCCTATGCTGAGAGAAGAATACTATTCGTCGATATCCTGCTCTGGAGGCGTGTTTATGCAAATATTTGTTCCCCCGTGATGTCATCTTGCCCCTCAGATCCAAACGAGCCGTTTCTGAGCTTGATTTATAATGAGGAGGAGGTTTTAAGCTATGAAATTTGCAGGATGATTTAAAGCTACAAAGACCTCTTATATGGCAAAAGATCAAGGCAAATTTGATTTCTCTTGTCATGACCCCTTTAAAAGCATCGATCACTCCAAAATGAAAATTCTGTCATGATTCTCTCACCCTCATGTCGTTCCAAACCCGTGAGAAACGAGTTCCTCCTCAGAAGACAAATGAAGGTGTTTTGTGTTTGGTGTCAGGGTGGCACGGGGTGGATTGCTCCATTAACTGCCCCAGCTAAAAACAAGTTAAGATTCTTAGCAGGCAGGTTGTGTCCACTGACTCCAGACCAGGGCTGTGTTTCCCAAAAGCATCATAAGCCTAAATTGATCATAGCTCCATTCGTGGCAATGGGTCTACGATGCGCTTAGGCTTATGATGCTTTTGAGAAATGCAGCCCAGGTCGAGATGTGTCTCAGGGCATTGACGGTGTTGTAATTGGTTAAATCTAATTAGTTGTTTTGTCAGTAATTGTTGTGGTCCAGAGCATCAGTGTGATGGAGGTCAGTAGATGTTACTGAAGTTCTGGACAGGCCGAGAGAGGGATCATGGGCTTTTAAATGTGTGCTTTTCTCTACTTTTACAACTGGTGGATTATGCATGCAGTATTTGTTGTGTGTGTGTGTGTGTGTGTGTGTGTGTGTGTGTGTGTGTGTTGTTGTGATAGATTT